CTGGCTCCTCCCCTCTGCTCCCTGGTTGCAGCTCCTGCAGAGACTTGCAGGCAGAGCAGCGTCTGCTTGGCTTCCGCCTCCCCTCCCCACTTCCTGCTAAGCAGGGATCCCCGTCCCCTCTGCCTTACACAGACACCTCAGCATTAGCTAACAGACCATATGCTGGCTACCGTCCATGCAGTGGCAGACAGCAGTGTCAATTTAGGGGTTTTTGGAGCTAATCAACAGCTCAGCTGGTAATGTCCCTCTGTTCCTTGTTTAAGAAGAGCTTGAACTAATGAGAGAGGCTGTTTGTTTTCTGATAGGGTGATAAATGCTGATAACAGAGTTGATAAATGCTCTGTTATCATCGGGGTGTGGGGGCGGAGACCCTCCCTAATCCTATCTGGGCCTGCCAGGTCCCCTCAGCTCAGCCATGTGGAAGGGGAGGGAGGGAGGGCTGCTCTAGCACCCCCCAGCTTCTAGCCTGAGCCACTGTTTGGGATGTCTGTGCAATTATAAAGTGATTTAGCCTAGCCAGGTTAAATTAACTTGCAAAGATTGAATCAATTCAGGCTCAGGCTTTTTGACTGTCTGTCCCTAGCCCATGGGGTTTCTCCTTTCTCCATGAGGGCAGCACTGTTTTCCCTGTTAGGACCTGTACCTTAATCTGCTTCTCTCCTGCACAAAGTGCACAGCAGAGATTAAGATGACCATGTGAGGGGCTGGACTGTCCTGCCCTGCCCTGAGGGTCCCCTTCAGTCAAGGCCTGCCTCTCTACAGAAATCAAGTGGCCATACCTTTCCCAGACAGAGAGAAACACCTTCCCCAAGAAGACACTGCAGACTGATGGACGCTCTCCCATCCCAAACCTTGGGCACTGACTCCTGCCACTGCACCAGCTCAAAATATTGCTGGGGGAATCCCAGCCTCCAGAGGAGTCTTTGCAAACTGTGGCATGTGACTGCCCTGGGCTGCTGTCTTGGAGTCCCTGGTGCAAAAGACTCGGGGAAAAGCTGGGGTCCCATCACAGGACTTGGGGCTGCTGCTATGTTTGACCCTCAGCCTATAGATTATCATGGACAACTGAGACTGATGGACCCAACAGTATTGAACTACACTGGGGTAATGTTCTCTCTTCTGCGTGTCAGGGTATTTTGGCTCCTGCTGGGGGGTTCCTACAGTGTGGGGTATTTGCCGCTCAGTGAGAAAGGTCTTGTAAAACACTCAAAGCACTGCTGCCTTGTCTCAGAACATCAATTCCCAAATTTATCACATGAATCCAGGCTCTTCCTTTTGAGGTACCAACCTGTCACATAGCAGCTTCTGCAGCTCTGTGGAGTGACAGTCCCTTGGTAAGAGCGCACACTTCCACCTGCTACTCGCTCTGGAAGCCAACTCCCAGCGAGATACCTTGAGCACGTTGCAGGCTGAACGGAGGTGTTGTGAGGGTGCAATGCAGTGAATTGACACAGAACTTGTTTTACAGGGGAAGCGTGAGGAGCTCAAAAGAAGACAGATGGAGGCCTTCTCTTAGAAACAGTATGTCAAGAAAAACTTGTCCTTTCTATTCCCTTTTGGGTGTGATCTTGCAACAGAGTGAGCATTGGAAAACTGCAAAAATAGCATTGCTAACAGTATGTATAAATAGTATTGTGTTAGGGTCAGACCAGCTCATCAGTTAAATTTAGGTCATGATTTGCACTCAGAGCAGAGAAGAAATGTGTGCTTTGCAGGAATAATGAGTCTATCTTAGCATTCCTGCAGCAGGGGCTGGGGGAGGGGAAACAGCAGCAGAGCTTGGAAAATGCCTTGAAGTCAAACCCCTGGTCCAGCTGCAGCTGGGGACCTGGCAGTTTGGGTGAGTGGCAGCTGGATGCAATTCTGGCCTAATCACCCCTTGTTGTGCCACTTGTTACCGAAACTGGCATGCTGTGAGTACTTCAGTCAGACGTGCCATTGAAGCTATCACACTTTTCCTGGTCAACTTCTCTGTTTTATGTTCCATTTTATAGAGATGGAAGCTGAGGGCACAGAGCAGGATGCAGACTTATCAAGGTCATGCAGTTGGCCAGTGGCAGAATTGGAAATATAGTTCAGGCTTGATAACCAGTTCAGTACTTTGTCAACCAGGAATCGCTGCCTCCCAAACCGAGGATTGGTATAGCTCATTGTCCCTGGATGCACAGCACTTACTCTTTGAGCAAATGCATTTTCCAGGCATATTCACGTAATTCTGGTAATTAGCTTACAAGTCACGAGCTTTTCTGAAATGATCCCTTTGAGATTTTCTGGTTGTTGTTATTGAGGCTAACTTTTCTTTAGATCCCTCTAGCAGAGCAATCACTCATTTCTGAGAGCACAGAAATGACTCAATTCTGGACTGTAGCAAAGAATTTGGCAACAGTTACTATTCAAATATTGATATGATCATTTTTGTTTTATTAACACCATCAGTTATAACCATTTCAGCGTCATGGTGATTGATGGATATATTGTCACTGGATATATCTATCAAATGGATGTCTTAGAATCTGAGCTTTCTTTCATTGATTCATCCTACTTTCAGGCCTACATGAAGCAAACCTTGACCATGGGAATGACATGTAAATGAATGGAGCCTTTGCTCTTGATTCGGCACAGCATGGCCTAATGGCTTTGAGAGACTGGTGGATGGCCCGGCTTATCAGCCAGGTGGCTAATATTTTACATAGTCAACATCAGTAGTGGTGTCACCACCAGTCGCTTTAGCCGAAACATCCAGGTGATGAAAAATGGGCTTGAAACTGCCGATCACAAAGTGCTTTGATGACATTATTTATTGAATGTATGTTTTTAAGGACTGTCAAGGGCCTGCGACGTGCTAAATGGGCACTTTGAAAAAGCATGTAGTTTCTAAAAATCAAAGTGAAAAAAATATTGTGGAGGCACACAAGGAGCTGTCATGAAAGCTGTGTCAGTGTTTGCAATGAAGTAGGCAAGCCCCCTAATCTCGGGTGGGAATCATCTAAGACGGTGGTGCTCAATCTTTTTGCCCCATGGGCCAGATTGGCAGTGCCCAGTCCTTCTGTGGGCCCGATCTGGCACGTGGGGTGGTGCCTGACCCAAATGCATGGTGGAAGGGGGCCTGGGAATTTGGCGGCAGGGGAGGGGCAGCAGTATCAATTGCCACTGCTTCTCCACCACCAAATTTCTTGATCTCAGCTGGATGCCACGAGTCAGTGGACTGGATTTGGCCCATGGGTCAGGGGTTTAGCATGCCTGATCTAAGAGAACAGGACTCTGCTGGGTTAGTCCCCACTCCGGGGCGCTGAGGCAGAGCACGGGGGTATCTAAGCTGCGCTGAAAAGCCTTGGTCATGCAATCCAGTCACGAGACCCCTAACAACAGGGCAGACTGAAGAGGACCTGGAGGGGTTTGACTTCCCAGAGCGTCCATCACCAACAGCTAGGCTGATCCATAAGGAAAGACTCTTTTCATATTTACCCCTCTGCCCTCGGCTGCCAAAGTTAAACCCTGCCTGAGCCCGAGTCAGAATTTGAGCGAGTGGCCACGGCCCCGGGCTGCGCGGTCCTGGCCGCGGGCCCTGGGGGCCTGTTCAGTGGAAGGGGCAGGGCACGAGTGCAGAGCAGGAAAGCTTGGGCCGCTGGGCTGGGATGCGGGATGCTATGGCTCCGGGACACGCAAAATGTACTGGCTTCAGCAGGAATTTGGTGAGGGAGGATGTTATGATTAAACAGGCAGGAAGGCACCGAGATCCGGGCCAAGAGGCGTAGGGGAGCCCTTGCAGAAGGAAGCTGCAAAAGCAAGGAAGAGGGGAATATCCGTGAGCAACGGGATAACGGAGATTCAAGGGCAAAGCCGGCAGCTGCAAGGTTAGACCCCGAGGAAGGCAGCAGGTGAGGAGGGCGGGAGTCTCTTCCGTGACCGGCTGCAGTGCGTGCTCTGGCCCCGCTCCCGGCAGCGCGGGGGCGGCGGCGGGCTGCAACCCCCGCGCCGCGGCCTGC